AGGGCAGTCAAGAAAGTAGTAAATTTAAAACAGGATAACAGAAATGTGAAAATTCAAAAGAAGAGTTGGAAGATAGAAGCCTTTCAGAAAAACAAAAAGAGGTAGAAATGGGGAAGAAATGATAAAATTATTCAATTATTCTAGGGCAAAACCTGTGTAGTGGGCTTAAAGAATAACTAGTCCAGAATGAAGGAGGATGATGAAGCCCTGGAGGGTTGTCTTCAATTAAAAAAAAAAAATAACTAAACTGATAGGCTACCTGATGTGTTCGAAAGTATTGAGAGTTTGGGATAAATTAATTATAGATACTTGAATGCTAAGAAACATGGAAAAAGAGGCAATGGCTAACTTCGGTCAAAAAAAGGAAATGAAATCATATTATGCTAATTTATTCAACCGTGAATAAATATGTACACAGTTATAATAATGTAAGGAATAGTGATTTACCTAAGTAAGATGATATAGATATATTGAGGGATGGAGGATGGAGAAATAATACATGTGTTTATGAGAGGACATTGGAGTGTAAGTACATAGCTTATTTCCTATAGCAAGAAGTAAGATAATAGCCCAGACTGAAAAATCAAGAACTAGAGTATAAGCATGCTATTAAGAAATAGGGAGAAAATCCCAGAAGAGATTTATCTTAAAAGATAAGAAAGAAGTTGTCTCTGGGGAGCAGAAATTCAGAATGTAGAGTGCTGGGGTAGGGTCAACTGTGAATTACCATTTGATATCTTTAAATGCACTATACTGGGGACTTCCCTGGTGGTTCAGTGGTTAAGACTCCGTGCTTCCACTGCAGGGCGCACAGGTCTGATCCCTGGTCGGGGAAGTTCGTGTGATGCGGCCAAAAAAAAAAAAAAAAAATACTATATTGGTAAAAATAAAGATGAATACAAGTAGTATAGTTTTTCATTTATTTGAAAATCTTAGCAGTCAGAATGGAGGAACTGTTTCCCTTAGGTATTGTAAGATATAAGACACTGGGAAACCAAGAATACTGATTTAGCACCCTTCTGAAAGAAACTTTAAAAATTCTCCCTGCTTTGGTACTAAACCTTGTATTGCTTTATTATTTTACAGTCTCCAGTAACTTGTCAGCTATTGCTGATACCAGCATCTCTAGGAACAGAAAGATGTAATTCTGGCCTCATACATTGTTGTTACCATGGTGGGAGCCAGCAAGTATACTTATGTGGCTTTACAAGTAGCAGGGGGCAGAAAATCTTACTAAAGGGGGCTTAAGTAGGAGGGAGCACCCTGGCAATGCACATGGTAAAGGAGAGGGCTCACATGAGACATTCCCAGGGTATGCTCAGAAGAACTTCTGTGTGTCCTGCTGTAACCACTGGAGACATGATCCAAGGAAACCATCATATTGATGCTGTGCATGACTCCATTTGTTCTCCTGGACTGCTGTGGCCTGGGAAAGTGCTGAGTAGATCAGAAAGGATGAGGTGGAGAAAGAAGACTGGGGCATCCAGAGAACTATTTGAGCTCTGGAGGGAAAAGGGGTGAGGGGACTGCAGACAGAGCTAGCAAAACCTCGGTCCCAGATACATAAATTGTCACTTCTGCTTCCTAACCTTCTGACTTCCACACTTAAATTTAGAGAAGAGTCTTCTTACTCTTCTGACCATCCCCCACCAGGGAATTTTTTTAGGCCTTACAAAGAAGTGAGAGGGCGCATACCTGGTAGGAAGGTGCACCTGAACTTATCACTCCTTAAGTGGAATAGAGTAAGGAAACGTAGTCACAGGGAAGCAGGGAAAAGAGTGGGTACTCACTAAGGCGAGTCTTGTCTGTAAACAGAACAACTCTGATGTGACCTGAAGGTCTAGGAAGACACTAGGACAGAAAATCTCCCCTCTCCTGCCTACTGTGGTGCCCAGATCCCATCTGCACTTCTTTGGGCATCTCAGCATTGCCCTCTCATGATAATAAAGGAATAAAGTAGGGATTCAAGTAGGTACCTGATTCTTGGAGACTGACCAGAGGAGCCTCTCCCATTCCTTTTCCCTTTTCCAGGTCCCCACAAACATTTATTGGTTTTTACTCTGTCCCAGTCTCCAGGTACAAAGATAATGAACAAGGCCACTGCCCTCAAAGAGTTTGCGAAATTTTGATGGAGGTTGGGAGTATAGAGGCAGATATGAAAACATAATTTTATCCTAATGGGTTAAGTTAGGAAACAGATCTGCACAAATACAGATGGAAGTGCACCTAAGTCAGGGAAGGCTTTCTAGTTGAAGAGACTCCTGACCTAAGGGGAAAGTAAGAGTTATCTAGGCATGAGCAGGGCAGAACAAGAACTGACTCCTCCACTTCCACTGTGTCACCTGGAATTACATTCCTTGTTTAGTGACATATACCCCCCCAACCTCAAACCTTTGGCTCTAGCTGTGCCAGTTCAACTCTGTCACCCCTCTCCTTACCCAGGCCTGAGTCTTCATTCAGACTCTAGCCAGGCAACTAACCATCTTATTACAGTCACTCTACTCAATAGTGACATATACCCCCCCAACCTCAAACCTTTGGCTCTAGCTGTGCCAGTTCAACTCTGTCACCCCTCTCCTTACCCAGGCCTGAGTCTTCATTCAGACTCTAGCCAGGCAACTAACCATCTTATTACAGTCACTCTACTCAAGGCAGCCACATCCTATATTCTAGAACAGCTATATCTAATATAAATATTAAATTTTCTAGTAGCTACATTTAAGAAGTAAAAAGAAACAAGTGAAATTATTTTAATAACATATTTTATTTAACCTAATGCATCCAAAATATTTCAACCTTAATATAAAAACATTATTGAGATATTTTGGTTTTCATATTGTCTTTGAAATTCAGTATATATATATATATATATATAATTTTTATTTTTGTCTGCACTGGGTCTTCGTTGCTGTGCACAGGCTTTTCTCTAGCTGCAGCGGGCTACTCTTTGGTGCGCGGGCTTCTCATCACGGTAGCTTCTCTTGTTGCAGAGCATGGGCTCTAGGCGCGTGGGCTTCAGTAGTTATAGCACACGGGCTCAGCAGTTGTGGCTCGCGGGCTCTAGAGCGCAGGCTCAGTAGTTGTGGCACACGGGCTTAGTTGCTCCGTGCATGTGGGATCCTCCCGGACCAGGGCTCGAACCCGAGTCCCCTACATTGGCAGGCAGATTCTTAACCACTGCGCCACCAGGGAAGCCCAAGATTCAGTATATTTTACACTTACAGCATATCTCAATTCAGTCACACTTCAAGTTCTCAATTGCCACATGTGGTTAGTGACTACAATATCTGACAGTGTAACTCTAAAATTCTGCCCAGACTGAGTGTACTCGGTGAGGCACTATTATATATTTCCTCTAGGTCTCCGTACCCCGAGTCAAGGCCCTGAGAACAATTTTGAAGAACGGGAAGGCCTGTGAGGTTTCAGCCAAAGAGTAATCACTCCCTTCAGATGCTAGACCTAGACAACTAACCCAAAACTGATCTCAAACTTGCTGATAAGACAGCTTTTAGCAATCACAAATCCACAAGTGCATCACAGTCAGACACATTTGACCCCTGGTGTCTCCAGATTGTCCTCTGGCCAGCAGGACACCCGCTAAGAAAACCTGATAATTAACTAACGTAACAGCATCTTCAGAAGGCATCCTGGAGGGGCCTTGGTGAAAAGTCATCTAGTCCTGCCATTCTGGTTCTGGTTGGGACCGGGAACCACTTGCCATGTGGGACTGAAAGGGGCTAAAAATATTTGGCGTAGCATCAGACACCTTGTGTTAGAGTCTAGCATCAACAAGAATCACATGGGAGAAAAATATTGAGAAAATTCTATCCGTTAATTAAACATTTCCACAAACTAGGAAAAGACCACCTTTTAAGTTTTGCTTAGAGAAAGGAAACACGGGGTATTCCATGAAAGCAGAATTTGAAATCCATAGGTAAGAGTTCAGTCACCTCATACTGAGACCAGAAAAGGGAAGTGTTTGGACCAAGGTCATTCAAAAAATCCGTAGAAGTTATGATGAGCCCCTGCATCCTTTCCATTACAACCCCACTGTCTCTACTAACTGAAAAATATTTCAACTGGAGACACTATACCATCTCCAAGGTTATCCTAAATTACCCTTCAGGATGACCCGCTCTGGGAAGGATGGGTCAGTGCTCCCCGGCTTCTGACTTAGGGGACCAGCCACCTTGAATAGGATTGTAGCGCCGCGATCCCCCACCTTCTGGAATCGTGGACGGAGGAGGCTACTAGGGCGGTTCTCTCGCCAACTCCACACCTTCCGGAGGCAGGCCTGGCCCAGCCCCTCCGCTGTTTCCCAGTTCCTGGCGGCAGGCTGGGCTTAGGCGGTCAGACCCCCAGTGGGAGGCAAGCGGGGAGGCCCAAACGGAGGCCACACCCAAGAAGGCAGCTCACAGACTGTTAGCAACTTCGCGGGGATTGGGGTCCGGGATGCGAGTGGGCCGCAGGTCAGTACCCAAAGTGCCAGAGAGGACCTCTCGACCCTCTGACTGGGGGTGGGCATCCCGGGAAGCGATGGCTCGGCCAGTCCCATACCTGTACCCACGCCTCACACCCGCCCCGCCGGCGCCGGCCGGGACGGGCCGCCTCTCAGCAATTCCTGGGGCTTATTAGGCTCACTCTGGGTCCGGCAACGAACTGCTCCGGCCTCGCAGGGGTCGCTCTGGCCCCGGCCCCGCCGCCGCGCCCCCGCTGACAGCCCGGGCTTGCTGGGGGTGGGGTGGGGGTCTCCCTGGGCTGAAGGACCTGCTAGTGCACTGGCGGCCCACAGCCCCGCAGCCTCGGTGCCGGGGAAAGATGGCCTATCACCTTGAAGCTCCGCCGGACCCGCGCTGCGCCCCCGAGAGGCCGCCTTTGCTTCTGGGGCACCGCGCAGCCTCCCGGCCTTCGCACCGGGAACCGTTTCCGGGGCGAATGCTTTTCGTAGCTGACCCGGCGCGGCCCGTGACGCGAGGGCCCAGACGGAAGTGCGGGCGGAAGAGCCGGAGCCCGAGCCGGAGCCCGACCGAGAGCAGGTCTCGGGGGCTCCGGCTGTGGGGACTGCTGGGCCTGGCAGCGATGGCGACCCTGTGGGCCGGCCTCCTTCGTCTCGGCTCCAAGCTCAGCCTGTCCTGCCTGGCGCTCTCGGTGCTGCTGCTAGTGCAGCTGTCGGACGCCGCCAAGGTGAGTCCCGCCCCGCGCTCGCCCCAGACCGGAGCTCCTCCCCTGCCTCCGGCCTTGTCCACCTGCGTCCCACCCAAGTCCTCTCCCATCCCTGACAGCCCGACCCCCTAGCTTCACAGCCCTGGCTGACTACCACCCGGAACCCTCCCAACGGCCAGGGAGCAGTCCAGCCTTCCTGCTCCAGCTGTCTGACGGTCCCCGCCCGCACCCCTCCCACCCGCGGAGCTGACGCCCCGCCCCAGCCCCACCCGGCCCTGACGGCCCCCAGAGTCGGGACAGCATCTCCGCCTCCTTGAATTTCCCTTCCCAGCCCCGACAGCACCCCCCCTCCCTCAAACTTGACAGCCTTTCCAACTCTAAGAGCCTTTAACTTTATACGCTTGAGCTCTGACAGTCCACCGCCGCCCTCCACCGGCTTCACAGACCACTGCCCCAATTCCCCAGGCCGAAATGATAGGAAGCCCGCATCTCACAGCTGTCTTCCCTCTTAGGAACTAACTCCTCTCAACTCACCCCTGAACTCATCCCTTCCCACTGTGGGAACTTCCTTCTCCTGGCAGCCTTCCTTCTCAATACGACCTACAGGAGTCTCTCTCACTGGCCTCATATCCTCACCTGACTCCCTCCAGGACCTCCTGGCCCCTTTCTTGCCTTCTCTGTTCTTGATAATTTAGAGGGTAAGGGAGGATCCAAACTACAGGAGAGGTGAGGTCGTGGCCTTCTCCCCTGCTCCATCTCTTGGCCCTTCTGGTCCCCCTCATGCTGCTATCTAGTCCCCTTCGTGCCCATACCCTCCAGACCTGTCCTTGATGAGCTCGCTCATTACTAGGGAAAACAGATGGCCTGCACATTAATGTGATGGGAAAACAGAATGACATTTTTCTTTTTTAAATTGGAGCTTTACTCTATAATACCTTTAAATATAGGGGCTGGGAAAGATGGGTGACAAGTATACAGATCAGGGGGGTTTTGGTCAGGGGTTCTTTTTTTATTGAAGTATGTAGTTAATTTACAGTGGTATGTTAGTTTCAAGTGTACAGCAAAGTAATTCAGATTCTGTTCCATTATAGGTTATTACAAGATATTGAGTTTAGTTCCCTGTGCTATACAATAGATCCTTGTTGTTTAGGTCAAGGGTTCTTTTTGAAATCTTCCCTATGTCCCTCCAGAAACAGGGACAGCAGCAAGTCTCCTGACTTTCAAAACACTGCTGGCGCCCTCTGCATATCTTCTGTCATCACTCTGAGTGGTATATTGTAACCATGTACTTGTCAGTCTCCTTTACTTGGGCATGTCCTAATTATGGGCAGGAACCATGTCTCACACTTATCTGAATCCACCTCATTGTACACAAGTTCTGGCACAGGACAAATGCTCACTAAGCAGTTGCTCAATGAGTAAATGAATTACCAACTCTGCCAGATATACCACCATATATAGGAGTTTTGGACCTGGTCCTCTGGAGACTAATGAGCTGCTGCCTTCTCAGATTAGATTCCCCTTTGTTGGGGAAGCATCTCCTACTCCCTCTATTCATAAATTTAGTCACCCCTTCCTCCACTTCTTGAAACTTGCTTTATCAGTAGTTGTCCTCTCTGTCTCCCAGGGATTAGAAGCAAAGTTTCCTGGGAAGGGTAGACCAAACTGATCTCAGCTACACTCACACTACTTCCCTTATGTATTGGGTTGGCCCAAAAGTTCATTCGGTTAGTGAACACATTCAATAAAGTTCTCTGTGAAAATGAAGAAGGTGTGTTTTATTTTTACTTTAAACCGAACGAACTTTTTGGCCAACCCAGTACTTCCTTTCTAATTGTAGCTGAGTGCCTCCAAAACTTCATCCCTTCTATAGGACTCTGGCCCAACCCATTTTATCCATAGCAATACCTTTCTACCAAAGGGTGGAAGGATGGTGAGTAGAAGAATTGTGATTTGTTTTGTGAGTAATTTTTAGTTTGATATTTCCGCATCCTTCTGTAACCAGCGTTCTTATCTGCAGGCGCAGCTGTCTGTCTCCCTCGTCTTTCTACTAGCAGGGAGATGGTGATAACGTTAGCACAGTTTGATTGTCATGTGACACAAAAATGTGATTAACAAGTCACAGATACTAGATGTTATTTCAAAATAATTTTATGTAGTATATAATCATTCATTAGCATTACCAATGGCTTTTAAAAACGTGTATATCTCACAGTTATTTAAAATTTTAAATGAATGGTTTTAGAATACTTGGCGGGGATGCTTAGCACAATGTGTAAGTTGCAGTTTTTAAAAATATTGATGATAAACTGTCAACAAGTTTCTATTTTGGTTATAGAATTCTGAGGATGTCCGATGTAAATGTATCTGTCCTCCCTATAAAGATAATTCTGGGCGTATTTATAATAAGAACATATCCCAAAAAGACTGGTAAGTATTCTGGATTACTGAATTACCTGTCAAATTTCTTTCTTTGGTTGCCACTGTTAGCCCTGGATATTCATCCAATGTATTGTTTTCTCTTTAAGCAAAAGTGTTGAATTCCATTTCTATTTGAAAAAGTGAGAGTAAGGCCCTGAGTGCATGATGATGTAGGCCTAAAAGAATGTAGCCCAAATCCCCAGGCAGGGAGGCTTTTACATTGGGATGGGGCTGAGTTTGTGGCACCCAAACTACCCATAGCTACCCTTCTGTGTCCCCTTAAATTTTGGTCCTCCCTCTTGCTTCTCAGTGGAAGGTAAGCAAGCCTCATTTATCTGGGTCAGAGCTTTTACAATTTGTAGGTTTTGATGATATCTTGTCAGATATAGGAGACTATGTTTAAAAGTGTCAAAAGGCTAAGGAAGGAATGGGAATGAGCCATGAATATCAGAGTTTACCAATTGGTGTGCTATTAATAGGTTATAGGAGTGCCAAGTCATTGATCCCTTCAGCCCTTGGCATATAATCAAGTAGGCCTGTGATGACTGGGATCCTGACTAGCTAGCCACCAGCAGCCTTCTCTGTTTATCCCAGTGGACCTTACAAATAATAGCTTTTTCTACATGTGCCGTAAAATGATTGGGAAGCAGTTATTTTGTAGCAGGATAGGTGGGCTCCTTACTCTGGACTGGGACGTTTTATGGTTTGTAATGGAAGATTGTCAGGATAGGCCTAGAAGAAAAATAGCTCCAAATGTTCTGTACTTTCACATGTGCTCGATTTCACAGCTAAATAGCCCCGAAAGTTTGAAAGCAGAATTAAATTCATTCTGTTACAATATTCCAGGCTGACTTTGAATAAGAAAAGGCAGGCTTTGAGCATGTTTAGCTTTTCTGATGTCATTGTCTGTTCTTCCCATGATGTGCATTTAGGTTCAATCCGACATTTGGTGAGTGTATTCTTGAGAACTTCTTGTGAGCTTTTGTGTTCTACTTTAAATTGTCTCATACTACAAAGTGATTTAGCTATTCTTCTAGGTTTTATATCAGCAAGTTACTTTATATGAAAAGAAAACTCAAGTAAGTTATTCCTATAAATTTTCCAAATATATTGAGCACTTACAATCAGTTTATTCTATTATCAGTAATAGAATATGATGCCTGTTACTTGAGTGGCAAATGAACTCACTATTCAAGTGTTTAGCACTAATCTTTTCACTGACTTTTTGTTTTTCCAGGTTCACAGAGAACCGTATATCATTTATCCCTGGTTATTGGTGAAAATAGGGAGCTTTGAAAATAAACAGTTGAAAACTAGGCTTGCTTTGGAATTTTTCTTCCCTCTCTCCCTTGCTTCCTTCCTGCAGCTTAGCCTTTTACTAGGGATAGGTTCACAGATGTCACTGAAAGTTTTTTAACTGGCTTTAGAAGGGTAGGCAAGTTATGACTAATCAAGATGTTATGGCTTTGCGAGGCTTCCAATATCTTATCTGACCCTATATATATATTTTACCTCCTGGCCTCTCCATTTTGTCCAGTTGTTAGCTTTAATTCTTCATTGACCTATACTGTCTAACTTAAGAAAAATTTGAGTTCTCTGGTTTGTGTTTGAGGCGTGATTTGAAGCTGATAATGTCCTCCTTTTGGCACTAGGGGGAGGTGTCGCCTAGTTCCTGAAGTGGTTGTGTTCTGTATCTGGGTTCTGTGTTTACAATGAGTGGCCAGCCAGAACCAACCTTCCTGCTTCCTCTCCCATCCTGCACAGCACTCAAAATCTCCTTGTTATTAAACTGTGTTTGTACTTCCAAAGAAATACTCAACACTTACATTCCCCAAGTAATTCTTAAGTATTGTTACTAAGGCTTCTGAAGCTGAAATAGAAAACTAAGTAGGAGATAAGGCTCATTTTCCTGAGGTTCAGAGAGATACAGGGGGGCTGTCCTAGGAGGCAGGAGCCCTGGATTCTGGTCCTTTTACCTATTACTTTACTCTGACCTGTACAGGTGACCTCTCCGAGAGTGCTGGGCTGGATGACTTCTATGATTCTGAGCTAGATACCCCTGCAGTGGGATTTAGCTTCCTCTGCCTATTTTATGCCTGCATCCAGCTGGATACGTTCCTGGTCTTCTGTACATTTGGAACAAATATCACACACTTGTATGGTGTGAATTGTGGGACCTTACTCTTATTTGAAAGTCTTGCCAGTTGAGACTTATTTTTTCATTACTACCTTTGTTAAAATTAAATTACCTGTTAAGGAAAACTGACTGAACTTTTATCATTTATGCCATTTTGGGTTTTCTTTCTTATGCCACAGCTCAGAGGGAACAGAACACAAAAAAGTACGTTCTGATAGGGCAAAGGGAAAGAATCAGCCTGGAGCATTGGATGCCCTCAAGAAGGTGGGTGGAGTGAGACAGGATGCTGTGGTAGAGTTCTTGAGGCAGCCAGACATGCCTAAGGGAGAGAGCACAAGAGGGAGGGAAACTGCCCAGCAGCCAGCAGGAGGACAGCAAAGCTTTGCCTGCCTTTGCTGAAGGTGATCAGGGTAGTGGGCTCTTAATAGCTGGGGAGAGTAAGAATTTAATTATTTCCTAGAATTGACAGATTTCTGGGAAAAAGATTTTTTGGTTAGGCTTGCTTATCGTAAGCCGTAAATAAGTGACCTGGAAAATGGGGAGAAAATAAACGTCCAACCACAAAAACATTCAGCCTGTTATTATTTTTAGGTACTGTTAACAGGTAGTGTTTTCATTTTAAAATATTTTTGTTGTCCTAATCCTACTTCTCCATGCTTTTTAAATAGACTTTTGCTCATTAAGAAAAGTAATTGTTTCTTACTCTGGTGTTCAGCTTTCAGAGTTTCATAATGGTTTACCAACTTTTATGTGTGATTAGCCATTCATATACCACACTGTGGCAGTTTAGATGATATTAGTTAATTCATAAAAGAGGTAATCTCATATTTGAATAATGCTCCAGGTCACTTTAAATCATTTAAGGCAGTTTTACTTGCTAAATGAACAAGTCTAAATATGACTTGATCTGCTAAGTAGTTTTCAGTCCCATTTGGGATTTTTCAGGTGCATTTTTAACTATAAATAGCACTTTTGAAAATAGCTGCTACATATGTGTCTTTTATGGTTTCTTAGACTGTTAAAGCTTACCAAATTGCTAATGTTTAGAGAGGAAATGATTTCCCTTCCCTTACTGATTATTCGTTCCTTATGTTCATTCTTTCATTGGGAAAGTTCAGTGATGATTCCGGATTTCAGGAAAGGTTTGATCAGTGCAAGTAGAAAATCCAGCTAGGTTTAGGCAGTATTTTATCTTTGTTTTTCCAGCGATTGCCTTCATGTTGTGGACCCCATGCCTGTGCGGGGGCCTGATGTAGAAGCATACTGTCTACGCTGTGAATGCAAATATGAGGAGAGAAGTTCTGTTACGATCAAGGTAAAAAAACAATAATCCATCTTTTCTGCTTCTGGAACAGTTTTTGTTGGTATCTAGACAAGAAAGAAAATTTTGGACATTTGAAATCTATTTAGTTACCTAAACTATTGCTCTTCCATCCTGTTCCCCAGCACCCTCTTACCTCCTCCTTTCTCATCCCCAGCCCACACCCTAAAAGGAGCAATGGGCCTGCTCTCCACCTGCCTCATTGAGATGCCTTGTGCATTAATTAGGATACCTTAGATAGATGTGATATGTGAAATGGCACAAAAAAAGCCCTGAGTATAATTAGCATTTCCCAGAAAGACATTCCAGCTTCTCTGCGGGCCACGTATGCCAAAGATTAGTGAGAAAGCAGGATGATTAGACCTTCTTCTTCCTGCCTTCTCAACCCTTAGAAAAAGTTATATATAGAGTGACTGCTCTATCCTAGAAAACATCACTTCTGGATTTTAAGAATTCCTTTCTTTATCTTTTATAGGAAATGGAATGTAGATCACTCATCACAATTTGGATCTCTAATGAGTTCAGTTACTTTATTATGGTGGCTAATAGCTCTTCTCCCCAATTTTTTTATATGGAGGTCCCCTTTCCTGTTGCAAAAAAAAAAGCCTCAGGGGAATCTGGGGTGCTCAGCTATGCCAGTTACAAAGACTCCTGTTGAGATTGACCCTGTGGAGAGCTCCTGCTCCAGCAGGGTACTGTCCCATAGAGAAACCATCATTGTACTTTTCTATTTTTTAACAAAATTTTTATGTATAATTTCCATACCCCAAATGTCACTCATTATAAGTGTACAATTTTATAAATTTTAGCAAATTTAAAACCAATTTTTAAAATCCAGTTTTAGGGACTTCCCTTGTGGTCCAGTGGTTAAGACTCCGCACTTCCAATGCAGGGGGCACGGGTTCAATCCCTGGTTGGGGAACTAAGATCCCACATGCCCCGCAGCCAAAAAATAAAAATAAATAAATACTTTGGGTATTGGCCCTGATAACTTTCTAAAAAAAAATAAAAAAAATAAAATCCAGTCTTGGAACATTCCCATCACCCCAAAAAGATCCCTCATAACCATTTATAGTTAATCCCATTCCTACCCCCAGCCCTAGACAATCACTATTCTGCTTTGTGTGTCTACAGATCTGGACATTTCATATAAATGGAATCATAAAATATGTGGTCTTCTGTGACTGGTTTCTTTCACACAGCATAATGTTTTTGAGGTCTCTTCATGTTGTAGCATGTATCAGTACTTAATTCCTTCTTATTACTGAATAGCATTCTATTACACGAACATACCACATTTTGTTTATCCATTCATCAGTTGATGGACATTTATTTCCAGATTTTTACTCTTATGAATAATGCTGTCATCAATATGTGCATACATGTCTTTGTGTGGATGTATGTTTTCCTTTCTCTCTGGTAGATTCCTAAGAGAGGTAAGTTTATATTTAATTTTTTTTTTTTTTTTGCGGTACGCGGGCCTCTCACTGTTGTGGCCTCTCCCGTTGCGGAGCACAGGCTCTGGACGCACAGGCTCAGTGGCCATGGCTCACGGGCCCAGCCGCTCCGCGGCATGTGGGATCTTCCCAGACCGGGGCACAAACCCGTGTCCCCTGCATCGGCAGGTGGACTCTCAACCACTGCGCCACCAGGGAAGCCCTATATTTAATTTTTTAAGAGACTGCCAGGTTGTATTCTAAAGTAGTTGTACCATTTTACATTCTCACCAGTAACATATGAGGGTTAAGTTTCTGTACATCCTCGCTAACATTTGGTATTGACTGTCTTTAACTGTAGCCATTCTAGTGGGAGGTGTCACACTGTACTGCTTGACACCGCACGAATTAAGATCTCAAGAAAATCATGTGCCTAAAATGTATTTTTGTATATCTAAATTGATCTAAAGCAGTATGCTGTTGAAATTCATCTGAATTACATTTTCTGTTAGGGATCCTAACAGAAAGTGGTCTTGACTGCAGTGCTGTTGAATCTAGGACACTGTATTCACGTGAGAAAAGAGAACTGCTGTGCTAGCAGTGGTGCAAGTGATTAGCAGTAGGTGAAGATGGAATTTGAAGACTCGTGAAAAGATCCCAAAGGCAAAATGCTTTCTTTCCTTTTTTTCTATAAATAATACTTTGGTGAAGAGTTGAGTTTATTTCTTATGTTGGAATCTGGTTTGTATAGAAATCCTATATGCTTAACAGATAAATCAGTCTTCACTGTGGCTTCAGCATTATTATACAAAATTCAGATTTCTTGGCTTGAACAGAGATATAACTTATTTTCAATTTCCTTTAGGTTACCATTATAATTTATCTCTCCATTTTGGGCCTTCTGCTTCTGTACATGGTATATCTTACTCTGGTTGAGCCCATACTGAAGAGACGCCTGTTTGGACATTCACAATTGATACAGAGCGATGATGATGTTGGGGTAAGTTCTTAGCATGCCCTAGGTGTTCAAGGCCAGTCTCTGTCATCATCTGATGTAAAGTGCATGTAAAGAGGAGTTACATAGTAGATGTCCCTATCTGGAGCAGATCCTCCACCAGAGAACCTAAAGACAATTCTAATATTAGTGTATGTCTCTTTATGAGGAAATTGCTCTGTAAAGCCATAAATGTGGTGGTTAGACCGATGATCCTTGGTGAGTGCGCTGTACAAGGCTTTGCCTTTCACTACCAAGGGCACAATTTTCATTGCCTTTTCCTGTTTACATTGAGAAAAGCATCGGAGATAGTCTTCTTCCTAGGCTCCTGCCTGAACACCTTTCCTGTCAACATCACCAAATATTTTAAAAGGCAAAGAGGCTTTAGTGAAGGGAAGCATGAAAACCATAATGTTCTTTACTTAATGAAGTACAGCTTGATAACCTGCTGATGTTTTATATTTCCTATTTTCCTCCTTCTTTAAAAAAATCTGTGATCTTTAACTCTAGAGAAAAATAAAACCATCACTCCTGATTCTCTTCCTATCTTTAAAACACATTCATATTTGTATATATAATAATATTACTTCACTCAAAACCTTTGAGAAATTGACATAGTCCGCAAATTTGTTATTCAGTATGGCTTAGGGAATTATATTGTTTGTTTTGTCATTATCCTGTTTGGGTTTGTTTCCAAATTTTCCACTATTTCATTATTACGTATATAATATTCTTTAGAAATTACTTTTTATTTTGGATTACTTTATTGAACTATGTTTCTTAAAGTGAATAAAATTTAGTAGAGTGTCAAGAATCAATTCCAAAAGCCAAAGCCAGGATAAAGCCTTGCCAATCACAGTCAAAAGTCCTTTTACTCTGGAATGGCTTGTGGACCCATTGGTAAAAGATGAGAAAGGGGATCCCGAATGAATGGCTTAAGTTATAATTACAGAGCCTGCTTGTCTCATGAATATCGATATTGAATACTCAACTTAATTTGAGCAAGATTTCATTTTTGTTTCGTGAAGAACTTTCATAGAAATACCTCTCTTTGCCTCTTTTCCCTTTGCTTCCTTTAGTAATTCAACCAACACATAACAAGTAACTTTTCCATATCAGGAAGAATTAGAGTCTCAAATACTGTTCCCATGTTAATTTTCATTCACATACAACATTTCCCATTGATATTTTGGGTCAGATGATTGTTTGTTGTAGGGGGCTGTCCTGTTCACTGCATGATATCTAATAGCATCCCTGGCCTCTGCCCACTAGAAGCCTCATCCCAATCACGACAATCAAAAATGTCCACAGACATTGCCAAATGTTCCTGGGAGTCAAAATCACCCCCAGTTGAGAACTACTAACATATGAAAACGTTATGTATCAAAGGCCACATAAACCGTTTCATTATAGGCACAGAGACAGAAACTGTGACTTAAACTACATCCCTTATAGCATTAAATATCTGGTTCCTGATTTTAGGGATAGACAATATTAATGTAATACACAGAACATAAAAGAAATGGATGCACAAATGTATAGATAAAAACATGTAGGAAAGGCATTTGATGGGACCATGTGCTTAGTAACCATTTTGTTCACCAGAGATTGATTCTGTGAGCATGTCGATCATGTGAGAACATTGTCTTGAGAGGCCTGGCTGACTTTTGCATATCAGTTAAATTGATTCTGGGCAGAGAGAGGTTTTCTAAACACAGGTATGAATTTATGGTAACAACTCCATTCAAAAAGAAGTTCAATTTAAATTCCTACAATTGTTGCTAATCCAAGATGATAGTTCTTCACTATTTATGTGCCTTTATACATGCTTTTGTTAAATTCTCAGTTAAATTCTGTTTTAATTTTTTCCATTTTTGTTGGGTGTAGAGTACTTTGAATCAAGTGAGAGCACAAATAGTTAAGAAGCTCACTGCGAGTAGTCACAATAGTTACTGTATTATATATCCACGACACATCATTGCTACTATCAAAGCATTACATTAAAACATGTTTTGTACTTATTGTAATTTTATCAGGTATAAAAAGTGCAAACATATATAAAGAGTAAATCTCTATTTGCATTCTCCTGGCATCCATGACTATGAGCAGCTAGTTCAGTCTTGTTCTGATGGATGGAGAATAGGCCAGAAGGATTAACTGTGTGTTTAGTCCTTTAAATTTGTTCCTTAAGAAGATGTTTCTCTCCCTACCTTGAAGAGTAGATAACAGGACTATGAAATTGAGAAGCACTCTGCTGGTAAAGTACATCCTTCTTCCCAGTCTTGTTTATGTCAGAACAAACCAATGGTAATAATGTTTTATATACAAGTTCACTGAAGCACCGTATTCGGATCGTGTCATTTTAATCTACCTGAACAAAATCAGTGTGTTAAGATATGACACCAAGTCACGTTTAGGGAAGCTAAGACTTGTGCTTGTGCTCATTTGTTAGATGACCTTGGATCGGTTTATTTCCTCATGGGAAATAAAGTAAGCCAACAACATTAGCTGCCTTCCTCTTTCCTAATGTTCTTTCTTACATCTTTGAAACATTTGAACTTTGTGGAATTGTTTTTATTATTTTCATTTGTAAGGTTAAAAAAAGAATGGGGTTTGCAAAAGATATTACCTAAATTAAGTGAAAAGTTGAAGCAATTTTGGTAAAGAAGGCAGGGATAGATTCTTTACAGAAAACTCTTTGATGTCTTTGAAATGTCGACATTATATAAATATCTTGCTCTAAAAAGAAGACCAGGTGTTAAAACACTGTTTAGTTATAGTTTTATATATATAGTTATGCACTTATGTATAGCTTTCCATAGACACGCTGACTCCTGCCCTGGGTATATAATAGAGCTTTTGCAAACATGCAAAACAATATTGTTTCTTTCTGAGAGGCGAAGTTTAAGAGGTCTGACTTGTGACTTTTATCCTATGTTGGAACATTTAGGAGCTTTGCTAACCCAGGTTCGGAAAAAAGAGATCAAGGAAAAGGCAAACAAAAGCAATAAATTAGTACTGAATGCCTTTTGTCATTTAGGCAGCTGTGTTTATATCTCATTCATAGATAGATTAGCATGGTGGTTTCCTGTGTAATGACTACAAACATCAGTGGCGTTGGTTTACTTTGACCAGGATAGGTTCGTTTTCTACAGATACCTGGGTGACCCTTCAATGGCCTCTTTCCTAATGCAGCAGCTAACATGGAAGCTACTGTGTGCTCAGCAATGAAAGATTCAAGTCTTTACCAAATAGAAATGCTGAAGTAATAATTCCTTACTGTCCTTAGCACTAGAGGGTAATTGTAGCGCTTGAGCTATGTCTCTGTTCATTACAGATTGGGGAAGGGGGGAAATGTAGGTGTTGAGGGCATAAGAAGAGATGGAAACCAACCAAGATAGGATCCAGTCAACTCATCTCCCAGGATGAATGTGGCCCCAAGCTGGCAAGTAAAAATTCTAATATAATGGGAGTCAGGAAATTAAAAGATAGGAGCTTCCTCAGCCACAGATTAGCTATACAGTAATGAATAAAACAAGGAAAAGCCCTACTTTCTGTGTCTGTAACATATAGATATTAACATGCAAAATAGATTTTCTTTCCACCACTCATCAAGACGGGCTTCTCTTTAACGTAAATGACCACTGTCTTTGTCTTGATCCCGACTTCTTAAGGGAATGTCTTTGAAAATGGTGACTCACGGGAACTTTGCACAAATACCTCCTCATCGCTTATTTTACTTGAACCAACTATTTCTGTAGTTGAGTTCATCCTGCTTCTGGTAGTTGAGTGCCTAAGAGTGCTTGGCCAAATTAGATGGTCTGTTTGAAAAGGCCAGCTGCTCCTATCTCCGTGGCTGGATAACTGTGTGTGTGTGTTTTACACGGACCATACCGTCTGATGTTCTCCATTCCTGGACTTTCAGGATCACCAGCCTTTTGCAAATGCCCACGATGTGCTGGCCCGCTCCCGCAGTCGAGCCAATGTGCTGAATAAAGTAGAGTATGCCCAGCAGCGTTGGAAGCTTCAAGTTCAAGAGCAGCGAAAATCCGTCTTTGACCGTCATGTTGTCCTCAGCTAATTGGGAGTCGAATTCAAGGTGACTAGAAAGAAATAAGGCAGACAATGGGAAAAAATTGACTGAGTTTTCCTGGGTTTTGTTTTAATGCCCTGTTGATTTTACTAACTCTCGCTGGAAAATTCAAAACTGGAAACAAAAACATGCTTGGTATTTTCTTTTCTTGTTAATGTATTAATGGAGGGATTTTTTAAAGCACACGCCTCAAACAACGTTAGCCTTTTCCTATTTGTGACTTTTACTAATAAAAATATGTCTGCCTGTAAATTATCTTGAAGTCCTTTACCTGGAAAAAGCACTCTCTTTTTTACCACACAGTTTTAATTTGGTTTTCAAGATAATTTTCAGGGGTGGTTTTTGTGTGGTGTTTTTTGTTTTTGTTTTTGGCAGAGTAGGGGAGGGATACGTGGGAAATGCTTAACATAACTTTTCTCAAGCCACTTTACTAAACAATCTGTTGTAAATAGACTTTGCCTTTTATTTTCAAGTTTCATTTATATTTTGAAGTCTGCCAGCCTCATCAAAGCCCTGACTTACCTATTTGAATTTTGCACTGACTATATTATCTGGACATCTGGTTGGCCTGTGGCTGCACTTCATGGTAAATTGGATCTGAAATGCCTGGTGGCACTTCATAAGATGCAGATTTTCTTCATGTACTGTGATGTCTGATGCAATGCATCCTAGAACAAAGTGACCATTCACTAGTTTACTCTAATGAATAAACATAGTCTTGGTGTGTGGTCTTTCTCATCTTCTTCTAGTATCTTTAAGGATGAATCCTAAGGACTTGGACACTTGCAATAAAGAAATTTTCTTTTAAACCCAAGCCTCCCTGGATTGATGACGTACACATATTTGTCAGCATCTCCAGTCAGGTTGAGAGGCAGCTGTTTGAGCTGTAGTGTGTACAGCTTTGAACTAGTACTGGAGTTCCAGTTGCCTCCCTCTGAAAGGTATAGCAGTTATTGGATAACTGGCTTTTTTCTTCCTATGTCCTCTTTGAAATGTAACAATAAAAATAATTTTTGAAAAACTTTTTTTCATATTATTTTCTATTATGGTTTCTCACAGGATATTGAATATAGTCCCTTGTGCTATACAGTAGGACTTTGTTGTTTATCCATTCTATATTATAATAGTTTGCATCTGCTAATCCCAAACTCCCAATCCATCCCTCCCTCACTCCCCTCCCCCTTGGCAACAACAAATTTGTTCTCTATGTCTGTGTGTCTGTTTGTTTCATAGATAAGTTCCTTTGTGTCATATCTTAGATTCCACATGTAAGTGATATCATATGGTATTCAGACAATGGAATATTATTCAGTGCTAAAAAGAAATGAGCTATCAAGCCACAAAAATACATGGAGGAACCTTAAATATTACTAAGTGAAAGAAGCCAATCTGAAAAGGCTATTTACTATACGATTCCAACTATATGACATCCTGAAAAAGGTAAAACTATGGAGTAAAAAAAAAATCAGTATATAATATGTCATTATACATTTGTCAAAATCCATAGAATTGTACAACACCAAGAGTGAACCGTAATGTAAACTATGGGCTTTGAGTGATAATGATGTGTCAGTATTGGTTTATCACTTGTAACAAATATATCATTCTGGGGCTGGCCTATTGGTAGTAGAGGAGAATATGCATATATGTAAGAGCAGGAGGTAAATGGGAACTATGTACTTTCTGCTCAGTTTGCTGTGCATCTGCAATTGCTCTGAAAAATAGTTTATTTAGAAGGAAAACATTTTAATAGATATATAATAAAATGTAGGTTCCTACTGAGCTTCCTGGTTATGGCCTTAATCTCTGTTTTAAAAATATTGGCGAATATTTGCACATTATGAGATTATTACTTAAAGATATTTTCCATAAATAATTTTGATATAAGATTATATAACTCAGATAAATGGGGGGGCATTCTTTTTATAAAAGAATTTGTTACAAGAGTCCAATTTTGCAAGCAAAGCTTTCTATTTAGTTTTGTTGTATGTTGTCATATCTACATATTAGGTAGAGAAAACAGATAAACCAGACTGAGCAGTTCTGTTTAACTGTAAGCTATTTTGCATGTTGTTACTAAATGATCACCTATAAATCAGTTTAAGTCTGACTCAGCCCAAAGTACAGCCTCTCAGCAACAAAATTCAGGTAAGAGACTCTTCTCCAGAGTGGCCCATGGGGGAGAATAAAAACATGGTTTTTAAGGAAATCCCTAGGCACGGTTGATAAATGATGAATTTTTTCAGCTATCTGATTATTCCATTATCTTAAACTATCAAATATGCTTATATGTTGAAAGAGTCAGTTTTGCTGATGATTCAGTCATCTGGAGGAGCAGAAAGTGTTTTTGGGTTTGGAAGTCAGGAGATTTAGGTTCTGACCTGTGCTCTGCTACTAGCTCTGCAACAATTATGAGGGATTGGATAAGAGGATTTCTAAGGTTCTCTAGGCCTAATGTTCAGTAATTCAGTTATATGTGCAGTTGTAGCTTTTTGTTTTTTCCATGCTAGATATTTGTAATCTCTCAGAAAGTTGAAGCTTTTATGCTCAGCAGAGCATCCAGAATCTCTTAGGATTTTATCATTAAGACCTCATCATTTATTTCCCAGAAGAGTTCTAAGAGACACCTGAGATTTTCCCTAAAAGGCAGGTGCATTTGTTAGCTATGCATGTATCTGGCTTTGGAGCCACAGCACTTACAGCCTGTGGGGCTCTCTTTTAAAACCTTTGCTCAATTTCTACAAACATGTCCAGCTGCCACTAGACTTCCTATCTCGATCCTCTTCGCTACTGCCTTTTTCATTCTATCACTGTTGTTGTTAAATTTTCTTCTTTGAATAAAGGATCATTTAAATGCTGCTACATTGATTGGTGAACTTTTTGGAAATGCTCAATAGAAAAGGCTTTCTCATCAGTGTGTCTCCAAAGACACCAGGCTCTTTTTCCAAGAATTATGCAACGTCTTGTTAAAACCTAGAAACTATTAATTACCTGTTGTGTATACAAATTACTCAGATTTCATCTGGGTCAAGGCTTAAGATATTGTTAAAATTATCAGTCAGGATGAACTACACTGAAAGAATTCTGTGTGTAATTAGCTTTGATGACATCTGCTTTACTTTTTGGTACCCTGTTGTATCAGTTCTGGCTCGTTAGCTATAGGCAGAAATAAGGTGCTGATGTTCTCAGAAATGTAGTAATAGGGGCTCCATACCCATTGTGCCATCATTTTCCAACTTCTGCCATACACATCCTTTATCTCTTACCCTCTAGAATTCTTGGCTCGAGAATTTCCCAACTCTTTTTCTCAGCAACTTTTTCTTTTTGACAGAATCTTGGCTAGTTGTAATCCAGAGATTTTCATTTTATGTTAGTTATTTTAGGCCATTGGATCAGTAATTTGGAATCTTTCATTTCCTCTGTTTTGATTTTTAATTGGACCTATGGCACTTATCTCATTCCCTCACCACCACACTTCTATTAGGAAGAGCTTTTCCTGGCATTTATTCCTTTTTCAGCCTTTTTCACCATGACATTATAACCCTCCCCACCACTCACATTTCCCACCCCTCATCTGCTATCCCCCATCCCCTACTGCTCTTTCTGGTTCCAGAGTCATTTGTCTTTTCTGTAGCCATACTTGATAGGAGAGGTTTTTTCACAAGAATTGTAATACACTTTATTGCACTTGACTTCTGGTGCTTAGAGACTGCTCCTGTCATTACATAGTGCAGCCTGCAGAGTTTTGTTTTACTCAGGTAGAGAAACAAGTGCCAGTGTTTACCTAATCTTGCCCTTAAACATTAGAGCTGGGTTTTTTGTAGAAAAAGAAAGCCACCTTTCCTTCTTTTCTGAAAGCCCAAAATTAGATTTCATGTGGCTTTTCCTTTTCCATTTTGGGTATGTTCTTCATCTCTCAACAGATGTGCTTTGGATAGATCAATGTTTGATTTTCCAGTGTTAGGGAAAATATAGGCCAGGTTTTCTATAAGGTGCAGGTGAGAAAGGGATGCTGCACAAGTATTCATCTGTTAAGAAACGAAACAGGAAAAGAACTAATACCTAGTGCATTATGGTTTTTTTTTTCATTTAATCCTCACAACCACCCTGCAGAATAGTTGATATCTCAGTTGGACATAGGAATAAGCCAGAGCTCAGAAAGGTTAAGAAATTTGCCTAAGGACACACAGCTAAGAAGAGGCAAAGCCAAGATTGAAACTTGAGAATGTTAATGACTGAAAGAAAAACGCTCTTTTCCTACAGCACTTCCTTGACTTCCAGTTAACTAGTTACACTGTAATGTTCCTGTGAAATCTGTTGTGACCACATTATTACAGTCAAAGGCAAAAAGTAATGGTAGTGTAATAAATAAGCTGGATGCAGGCCTATTCAGAAGAAGGGAATGTGTTGATATGAGACATCTTGGAGTATTATACTTTAAGTTCCATGAAAAAAAAACACCTAAATACAGATGCACTTTACTCAATATATTTAAAGTTCTAAGTAAAAATATGTTAATTGACCATGTTTTAAATGTGTTAGGGGAGTTTCTCATTAAGGGAATCTTACAGTGAATTTTTAAGAGCAAATGATTCCTTTTTTATTTTTATTTTCAGTTTTGCCCCCGGCATATCAGGTATCGTTTAAGAAGGCTATGCCTGTGAGGTTGCATGATCACTAACTAGTTTGTAATTTCTCCAACACGTATTTGAATATTGTGGTGTTTCAGTGTTTCCCAAACGTCAGTATTTGCATACACCTTCACAATCTTCATTATATTAGTGTTCCACCTGTACTGCTATTTACTTACTATTTTTCTGTAAATCAATTTACATTTTTTACTCAAGTAGCTTTATTTTTAAAAGAGACTTTGTATCACTACTGTAAATGTGAAATCAGTATAATTCACAATAAATAGAAGTTAATAGTAAAATATTATTAGATTCTAGCTAGATACTATTCCTGTTGAAGGCTTCCGTCTGAGGAGGATTAGAAAGCATTCTAGTAGTATGGAAAACACATTCTCATCAGACTAAAGATATATCCTTGTAATCATAAGGACTGAAAGGGAATAACTTTCTCACAAGGCAAGTCAATGTTATTTCATGCTGTTTCTGTGTACCATCAAAATCCTCTCCCTTACTACCCAAAGAATGTTGTAACCCCATCAAGTTTTCAGAATGAGCTCAGAAGCTATTCATCAAAGCAGAAAAGTCTCTGATCTCTGTCGATATCTGTTCTCTTTTGATCTGGCCAAATTAATAAACTTGGTTCTGTTTCCAGGCTAAAGAGGAAATGATGGACAATAGAAGCTACTCCAATCTGCCAGACAAACTGCCTGTCTCCTCTGATTCCACCCACTTGCCACTGACCAGGTCCTTCTATCGGGACCCCATGATCATGTTCCACCTGTACCCTGAGGGCCCGGTGCCATCTCCTTACTCTGAAGACCTGCCATTGCTGCCTTTTTCCAGTGACTCTCTGATCATGGAAGATTATGGGAACCCTGCGCCTTCTCCTTCCCAATGCCTTATCCAAATTACAGAAGGTGTGAAGACTCCTACAGGCCAGCCTTTATCCAGAAAAGGAATGAGCGGGAAAGGCAGCGGGTGAAATGTGTCAATGAGGGCTATGCCCAGCTCCGACATCATCTGCCAGAGGAGTACGTGGAGAAACGACTCAGCAAAGTGGAAACCCTCAGAGCCGCAACCAAGTACATTAATTACCTGCAGTCCCTGCTGTACCCTGATGAGGCTGAGGCCAAGAATAGCCCCAGGAAAGATCCCTCCATGATGGCAGCCACCAACCGCCACACTGACCCCATTTTCAGAATCATTTGATTCCGTGTTTCTAAATAGAAACAAATAATCTCACAAAATGTGGTCCCTTACATCATTGATAGTTTTACTAATGGAATCTCTGGGTGGGCAGATAATAGTTCAGATGCTAAGCTGTGTTGGCTATTTCTTACCTGGGTTTCAGATGTACTGAACTATCTTATGTAGATTGAGAAGACGCTTCTTAACCTTTGCTAATTTCTTTCAAGAACTTTAGGGAAGCAGGAGTCCCCAGAATTCTCTATATCTCTCACCTTGCCCTTCTCGCACACTTTGCCAGAGTCTCAGCTGTGAGAAACAAAAGTAAGACTAATGACTATTCAATGCCTGTACTGCACTTTGCAGACGCTTCATGCTAAGCAATCACAATGAACCTCCCTGGATTTGTCAAAGTTTGGTGGGTTTTATTATTTGGAGTTAGCGAGAAATCTATACCTCACTCATAACGTGATGCGGAAGTATCTTGGCGCTAAAGCAAAAGTAGTTAACAAAACCTTGTTGTCATTTGAAATTACTTCAGAGTCATCTTTTTCCTGCATGCAGCAGACATCCTCAGGTAGCTTAGTTTGCGCTTAAGAGTGCAGGCTCCACAGTCACACTGCCTCCGTTTACATTCTGACTCTGCTGCATCCCCACTGTGTTTTCTCAGTTCTTCATCCACAGAATGAGAATTATAGGAAAAGCAGCTACCCCTTATGTTTATTATCAGTGTTAACAGTGCTTGTGAAACATAATGAAAACATTATGTGAAAACATAATGTGAAGCATTATGAAAACATGTTTTCATAGCCATTATTTTTAAACTTTATTATCCTCTTTTTTTTCTTTTTTGCCCATGACATCAACATTCTTCAGGTTCTCCAGGCCAGAAAATATGGGAAAGACAGTGACGTCCCCTATCTTGGAGTCTGCCTTCAAAATGTTTCTATTTCTGTTCCTATGATGAGCTTCAGCTCTTCCTTCTTCCTTAACTCCCACGTCCCCTCTGTCACCAAGCCCAGGCAGGACTTCCAACACACTGTCACATTCATCTCCATTGTCACCTCTCTGTGAAGTCTTTCCACCACAGCTATTACTTGTTCCTTTATTTTGAACACATATTTCCTTGCCATTCTTATCCTGCTATCTTTACTCCTGCTATCTTTGCACACTTATCTCTGTCTTCAGTAGAATGTAAGCTCCTTGAAGATAGCGGTCAGTCTTATTCATCCTATATTCCTAGCACCCAGCAAAGTGATTCAAGTCAGGTAGGCATCAGGAAATATTTGGTGGTGTTATTTTCCTATTCCCATCCTGTCACATTGTGTCTGGATAACTCCGAGGCCTCCTGGGCTCTGTTCTCAACTGGCTCTATCATCACTCTTGATATTTTTTCTTAAAGTGTTTCATGTCATTTCATTGCTCAAGCCCCATGACAACTTCCTTTCGACTATGACATTGTTGACATTTATCTGCTTGGTTTTCAAAGCTCCCATCAATTTGGCCCCTTCCCAAATATCCACACTTGATTTTCCCATGACACCCCATTCCCTCCACCCCAAAAAGAAAATCACAGTCTTGCAAATGGATCCTTCTGTCTTAGCTCTTGCTTCCTACCAAGACGGAATGGAATATTCTCCTTCTTCCTTTCACCATTGAAATCCCACCTATCTTATTCAGGAAGCCTTCTCTCATAGCCAGAGACTAAATCCCTCAGCCTTTAGGGTAACAGTCGTTCTCCTGGCTGCAAAATTAAGCTCTGTGAGGGTAGACATCAGTTAGGATGCTTTTGGTGGCAACCGATACAAAAATCTGATAAAAATTGGTGTAACCAATAAAGGGAATTTATTGGTTCACGTAGCTTCTAGCAGTAGGGCCGCCTGCAGGAAGGGCTCGAGACTGTTACCAAGAACCTGATTTCTTTAGGTCTGTCCTCTCTGGGAATAGCTTCAGTGTCCCAGAAAGACTGTCAGAAGCTCCCAGAACCTCAAGCTTTCTTACTTACGTATAGGAGGAAAAAGAAAGTCTATAACCCAGGATTTCCAACAAAAGTCTTGAGATTCATTCTGATTCCAGAGGCATGGGAACATGCCCATGCCCTAGTGGCCAGGGGATGGAATGTGCTGATGGACACTCATGAATCGGGGGGTACAGTCAGCCTCTTCTAACCACACAGAGCCACACAGAAACAGGAACTGGTGGAAGGCAGGGATGGATGGGGTAGAGACAACCACAAACGTCCCTACATACTTTTTTGGTCTTCTGCACTGAACACGGTGCTGGGCACACAGCCAGTGCACAATGACTGTCAGATGCCTCAAATACCAGCCTCCTCCTCTGGATGTTCAAATGAGAGCAGAATCTAGACTTCTGTTCCTTTGGTTCCCATTGTCCACTCCCACCACCCCAAGTGATCATTACACCTCTGCTCCTCAGCAGTCCTGTCTGTTACAGACAAACATGCCCACACTTTTGGTTATTTGTTTTTAAAAACTAAAGACAAATTCTATCTTAGAGTCCTTAGGCCATCCAGTGGTTCCCTCCACTCCAGCCTCCTGCCCGCACCGGGTGAAGGCAGGTCAATAGCCTTGAGTCTCTGGGGGACCAGCTCCCCCCATCACGAGACTCCTGGGATCCGTGAGGGCTACGCACCGTGACGGACTCTTCCGGCAGAGGGGAAGCCCGAGCTTTTGGGGAATTGAGGTCGCACTGGCCTTTCCCGCCAACACCCCCTCCCCAGAAAGGCGGAGAACTACCCCCTACCCTCTCGCCCCGCGCATGCGGCCTAAGGCCCCAGCCCCCCTGCACATGCTCAGTACACGCCCTCGGCCCAGCTGGCTCGCATCCATGGCAACCTGCTAGGCAACCAGGAGTCAGTTGGTCTGAGGCCGTGAACTCCAACTGTTGGAAGGGGCTGAGGCTGAGGTGGAGTTTGAGGCTGTGATAAGTCCCCTTGGGGTCAGAACTGTGGACTTGGGCAGGAGCAGACTCAATAGGGCCGTGGTGGGCTGGGCCAGCGGAGTGGTATCTCGGGCCCTGGGTGGCAGCTGTCGCCTCTGAGCACGTCTACGGAGGCCACAGCCCTGGGCTCTCAGCTCGGTCTAGTCCCGCAGGTGACTGGGTTAGGAGGGAAGTCTGTGACTTGGGTTAGGGGTCAGTTTGTCACCAGGACTACGATTTGCGAAGGGGCGTGTGGTCTTACCCCCGAAGTCCCTACAACTGTGGTGGAGACGGGGGAAAAAAAACTAACGTATGTTGAGCTACTTAAATATGCCAGGTGCTTTCCATATCTCATCTCCTGGGCGGTAACTGAAGCACCGAGGTGAAGTGAGCACGCAGCCAGCAGGCTGTGAAGGATTTACTACAGCTAAATCCTTCTCTGAAATCCCAGTTCTTGCTCTTTCAACCCCTCCCCTATTTCCTGAGCTGAGCCTCCCCGGGCAGGTGATTCTGGGGACACCCTGCGCGTCGGTGGGACCGGGTGCGCCCGCAGAGAGGCCGCAAACCGCAGAGCTGAGCCCAGCCCCGGCCAGGCGCCCTCTCCTGGGCTGTGGGCTGCAACTCAGATAAAAAGCAACTCAGATAATAGTGCCGCTTGTTCTCAGGTGTTTTCTCCCAAGGAAATGGACTCCTCCCCAGGGCCTGGGATGCCTTTGCCCAAATACTGCAGCGTGGCCACAACCCTGAAGGCCCCTGCCTGGGCCGGCACTGCTCCTCCCTGGGAACTCTCCTTCGCCTGCCCTCTCGCCTCCCAAGCACCCTGGCTCACCCGGCAGAGGCCTCTCACCAGGTATCGATCTCGGCTTCCTTTTTCCTCTCTGTTCTTGGTTCTAGATGGTGGGAGAGATGGCCCAGGAGGGAGAGAGCTTGTTTTCTGGGAAGGCTGAAAGGGTTCTTTACCGTGTGGGCTCTGAGTTGCTTGGGGTTTAATATTCCCCTAGTCTAAACTGCACTCCCAGTGACATCAAGGGTTGACCTGGCTTTCATCCCACCTTTTAGCGGAGTGGCAGATGTCAGAGTTGGCATGTGTGAGGGAAGGCAGTCAGGCATCATCAGTTATAAACTTGTAGCTCATTTTACCATCAGCTCTGAGACTTGCCATGGGACTACATGAGAAATTAGGGTTTCTGCTACCAACCGCTGAGGTGAGGTCTCCAGGTCCCTCCTCAAGTTCCCTCAGTATCCCTCAGTTATCCTGGCTTTTTGTGAATGGTATCTTTAGTTGACTGTCTACAGTGTGAATACAAGAGGGGAAAGGAACCTCAGGCTGTAAGCACATACAGGTTGTGCAAGTCCCAGGGATTCATGTCCATGCTATTCAAGTCAGTCTGCCCAGGTTAGAGACATGCCAGCCTGAACCCTTTAGCCCCTTTCTTGATTCACTTGTGTGGACCATCTCATTCAAAGCCTGTATCCGGGCTTGCCCACAAAGTAAACAGGTTTTTTCGGAAACCCAAAACCTGACTCAACAATTCCCTACAGCTTGGTCCTGTCCACAAAATTTCCCAGAACTAGCTTCTCCTTTTTTCTGTCTCACAGCCTCCTAGTCAGCTCCTCTGTGCTTCCTGTGCTCAAACACCTCCTCCTCTCTTATTACCCCACAGTGCTCAGCCTTCTTGCAATTTTGCTCCTTTGGCATCACCATCCAAGCCTCCATGCCTCATCGTGGAATCCCACACACTGCCTCAGAATTTCCCTTCCTGGAAGTCTTTCCTGGCCTGCTGTCTAGTCTCAGACCAGCACTCAAAACCAGAATACATAAAAGCTAGTCCCACCCTGATTACCTTGAAACAATTCCCAATCCTCAAACGACGGTTCCCTTCACTCTCCTCTCCTTCTGCCTTTCCAGTAGTTTACCTTATCTTACTGGAAGTCACAGATTGCCACTCTTTACATGGATTTCTGTTCCATATTGCCTTATCTGTCATGCACACACCATGGCGCTGCTCAGATCTAACTCTGAAACGTGTTTCTTGATGGTTTTAGGGCTTGGTTTTCTCTACTCCCTAATTCCATTTGCTTTTTCCCAGATATGCATCTTATGACCCGTGTCTCCACATTGCTGACCCAGCATGGCAGGGGCCTGGCTGGCTGAGAAGAGGTGGAGATGCTGCGGACGCATGGGTCCTGGCAAGAAGGGAAGCAGATGGCTTTTATTACAGGGCTCAGATAAAGGCTGCTCCCGAGGCAAGTCCCTAAGTCCCAACATCTCCCCATATGCTCCTCTGGGTGGCCCTGTCATAACTGATATGCCTCAGCTGTGTGTGCCCAGCAGTTCAGTTTCTTGGATAAGCACAGATCTTCCATGGTCAGGTTGCAGAAGTGAAAATGTAATGTCAGTGAGTGCATTAATTTGCTAGGGCTGGGTAACAAAGTGGCACAAGCTGAGTGGCTTAAACAACAGAAATTGTCTCTCGGTTCTGGGGACTGGAAGTCCAGGTGTTGGCAGGGTTGGTGATTCTGAGGGCTGTGAGGGAGGATCTGTTCCATGCGCCTTTCCTAACTTCTGGTGGTTTGCTGGCAATCTTTGGTGTTCCTTGGCTTGTAGAAGCATCCCCCTGATCTTGGCCTTCATATTCACATGCTGTTCCCCCTGGGTGCATGTCCGTGTTCCAATTTCCCCTTTTTGTAAGGACACCAGTCATTGGATTAGGGGCCCACCCTACTCAGCTGTACTCAGTGTGACTTTGTCTTAAGTCGTTACATCTGCGATGACCCTATTCCCAAATAAGGTCACGTTCTGAGGTACTAGGGGCTAGGACATCAACATATGAATTTGGTGGGGTAACTATTCAATCCATAACAGTGAAGAAAATATACAATAAAAGCACTTTGTTCAGGAAAATTCAGTGTGTCAAATTATGGGCGCCAGCCTAAGGGAAAGAGGAGCAAAATGTGTGTATCTCGTGTAAGCCTGTGTCCCTCCACACAGGAGCACGGTGCCTGCGTGCTGGGGCCAGGCCTGGGCTTTACTTTGGTTGTTACTTGCTTCTTTGGGATTTTTCTCTTCCCACAAAGAGTCAGACTTTGTGAATGTGGATCCATAGAGGGAAAACAAGTGTGATTTCTAAAAATATATATAAATGATAGAATTTCCAATCAAAAGTCATTTTGTCATTTTCAAGTAACTAATAATGTAATTTCAAATGAAATATTAACAGGGTTTTGCTCAAATATAGACCCTGTCTAGTGGTTTGTTAAAAGTCAATTTGTAAGCTTGTTCTTTTAATTAGCTTAGTATTTCTCCTGCCCTCTCTGCCAGGCTGCTCATTTGCTTCCTTTGCCCAGCCTCCCCTCATGGACGTAATGGCAGTGCAGAGGGCTGCTCCAACAGCCCCAGCCTGTCCTCGCCCGAGAGGGCCTGTGGATGATACCCCACCCCTGGCTGGCCGCGGACACAGGGATAACACTTCCTGGGAGTGCTGGGAGGAGGGGGTGTGCTTGGGGAAAGATCCAGAGGACCCAGGTTACTCCTGTGAATTGCAGGCCAAATATAAAGATAGGAGAAAAACAAAACAGAACAAAACAGGAGGGCTTCCCTGGTGGCACAGTGGTTGAGAGTCCACCTGCTGATGCAGGGGACAGGGGTTCGTGCCCGGGTCCGGGAAGATCCCACATGCTGCGGAGCGGCTGGGCCTGTAAGCCATGGCTGCTGAGCCTGCGCGTCTGGAGCCTGTGCTCCACAATGGGAGAGGCCACAACAGTGGGAGGCCCGCGTACCACCAAAAAACAAAACAGGAAAAGGAAGAGCACGGGACAGGAAAGGCAAGAAGTGATAAACAAGAGTTGCCACGGCAAGAAGCAGAGGGAAGAGCGTCCGCCTCACAGCTGGCCTGTCTCTGCCATAGTGGGCTCCCGAGCAGCGCCTGGCCCTGCCCTTTCCCTAACTGGGCCTTGCCGCATGCGAGGGAGACCCTGGGTTTGGCCCTAGGCATTGTAGGGAACCATGGTGCTCCCTGTAGTACTTCCTAATGCCAGGTCTTATTCTGAGTGTTTTCTTTCCCACAGCTGGAGAGGCAGGGGTTCCTGCTGGTGGAATTTGAGGCTCCCCTTGTCACATGCCCAGGGCTGCCAGCCCAGCGGCAGAGCATGGTCTTGGAGGAAGATGTCATTCAGTTCTCGCCATCCGTGGAATACTCACTGTGCCTTGGGGACAAGGTGCTGGCACTCTGGGGACCAGACCAACAGCGCTATGGCCCCGGCACCATTCCTTTGGGCTTGGAGGCAAGAGACCCCCAGAGAGGTAAGGGAGTGCTCTGGCCTCCCAGTCCCCAGGAGCCAGGCTGGTGATCAGGCTGAGGAGAGAGCAAAGGGTGTCTCTCCAGCTTAGGGGTCTTAGAGGCTTAAAAAATCCTTACCCTTTCACTTGCAGCTTCGTCCTGAGGGTGGCCACAGATAGACAAATCATATTTTTCAGATTATAAAATATTCTTTATCAGGGCAAAATAGCCCAAGGCTACTATGTCTATGTTGGTTACTTAACCTGTGGTGTGGTGAGGCTATCCTGGGGTCACACCAGTACTAATGACTGGTCCCCCACCAAGTCGTGCAGGGACTGGGACAGTCCCCTTGTGCGAGGCCAGCCAGTCAGCATCGTTGTGTTCAGAGAAGCGACAGAAGGAGGTTTCTCCTTCCCTTCCCCCACCTGCGGATGCATCTTGGTTTTGACGTGAAAACCAGGACATGGCGGCACAGGAAGGGGTGGTAAACATGGGGCAGGTGAGGAATGTCCCTGGCAGGCTCTCCAGGGAGAGGTGCACACGGGCAGGAGCAGAGCAGAGGGGCTGTGATGAGGCTTTGCTTCTGGGGAGAGGAGAACCCTTATCCCATGATATGAAAGAGGCGGCTGTAACAAAATGGTGACCTTTTCTGTTATGTAGCATCCAAAGAAGAAGAAATTACTGTTCACTTCTGGAATGGCAGGACAGCTCCTGTGCCTCTTGGAGGGGTCAGGTGGGTGCCCCCAGCTGTCTGGAAGAAGGCTGTGGACAGGCTGCACAAGCCTTTCACCACGGAGCACCCCAGGCCCCTCCTCTGGGCCCCTTGCTGCTCTCTGGTGGGGCCGGTCGCTGGATGTGTCACCGGCGGGCTTCCTCTGACCGCTCCGTTCCTGTGCCCTCCCTGCCACCCGCATGCCTGCTGCCAGCTGCTGGGCCAGGGCTGCCTCTGCTGCCGCCCCTTGGCTGGACCCACCTGGTGGCCTCTAGCCAGAACCTCAGGGGTCACAGCCCGAGAGCATCCAGAGACGGAGCTGAAGCCCACGGCACAGCTTTTGCCCCTTGAGGGTCCTAAGGAGGAAGAAGTAGCAGTGCAGGCTCCCATGGCTGTTTCTTCCTCCTCTACCTCCTCTTCTTCTGAAGAGGAGGATCTGGAGAATGAGCTGAAGATGGGCCTTCCCCAGAGGCTGCTGCTGGACAGCACAGGCAACACGGCCCCCATCCTTCTTGAGGAGTCTCCAAGGAGGCAGGGTGGCCTCTGCCAGCCGGAATGGAGGTACTGGAGGAGAAACGGGTCCAAGCCGCATCCCAGGAAGCCAGGTAGACCTTTTCCTAAGGCAGGGCTGAGGCCCCTGCTCCCTTCCCTCCCATGTGTCTCTCAGGAATCTGATGCACATGTCCGCTGTGCTGGGATTGGAAGTAACACTTGGTCATGTCAAAGGAGGGGCTGTGATAAGAGGGAAACGTGGGCTTTATTGATTAAATGGAAACCTAACAAGAAAGGATGGGCAGATCTTTGTGCTAAGGTTTGCATCCCTATTTGACAACTGTCTTTTCTTTCTTCACTAGTCTCTACTGGCAGGACTCTGCCACTGTCCATTTCTACCCTCCCCTCCCTCATTTTCCTTGGAGGCGTTGATTTTTCTCTAGATGTACAGTCAGAATGCCTCCAGGTGTTGACTGGAGTCTTTCAGCACCCTGAGAAGCACAGAAACGGGTCTTTAAACACTGGCCATCAGACCCTACTCTCCAGATGGGCCCCTTAGGAAGTCAGAGCGGGAGGAACCAGGCACAGCCTTATGCGTCTCACTCTACCACTGAGAGGGGAGGCAGTGTCATTGTCATTGGCAACCTGCAGCCATCCCCAAACTTCTCTGCCCAAGCAACATGCCCGTGTAGGTTTAGAGCAGTGTATCGTTGATACGCCTCTTGCCGTGCGGCCTAAATTCCCAGTGGGGCCCAGAAAGAGCAGACGCCTAAGGCAGCCAGCAGAGCTTTGTGAAGGAGGTGACTTGTATAAGCCAGCCCTGGACTAGATTCCTGGGGCCCTGTGCTGACTAATTCAACCTCAGTGAACTAAATGAACATCCACTCTGGGGCAGGGATACTGAGGGCTAAAGAATACCACTGCTAAGGGCATAAGGATCTGTAGGCACTGCCCACACTGGGACTCATCGTGGGTCCCCATGGGAAGCCATTGCCCTATTTTCAGGACAGCTGCTCAACCAGAAGGACCTCTCAGCCCACGAGTATTTTAATCTTACACCAGGAGTAAGGCCTTTATTAGTCTTCAGTTCCAGGAGGCTGAGAAATTGTTTCTACACTGAGAAACTTTCTTGGGGGACTCCTCTGGACCCCTGGGCTTCGGAGTGGGCAGGGATGGATGTGTTGGCTGCTGTTGTATTTTAGATGAGGTTCCTCCCTTGGCTTTCGAGGTGTGCGATCTTTCCCCCACCTCTGAGAGGGAAATAAGTAGAGGGACGAGAAGCTATAGCTATGACCAGCTGGGCTCTTCCTCCCCTCCCTGAGAGGACACTTTGTATTGAAAATATAAAGGTGGGAGTGGGGATAGGTGTTCCTGGGCCTCTTTCCTTGCAGTGAAAGGCCTTGGCAGAAGCTGCTTGGAAGCAGCTGTTTCTACAGGGTATGCCCTCCAACAAGTGATAATATAAAGAAAATGGTGCCAAAGTCTAGAGTTTTCAAGCTAAATTCTCCATAGCTTCCACTGCCCTCCTGCTTCAGCACAGACTGGAGAAAGAAAAGCTGTATCTCTCCAACAGGGAGGAGTCTCTGGGGCAGCAACTGAGGTGGCATGAGACCCAGTCTCAGGGAGAGGAATGCCAGTGGGGTAACCAGAAGCCATGGCGGTCAGACCTGCCCCAGACTCCAGACCTGCATTCCCATGGCTGTGGCCTGCTCCGTGGCGTTCTATCCAGACTGGTTCTAAGCCTGACTGAGGCCAAACAAATCTTCCCTGGCCCCGAGCATACACCGCTCTTATCGCCACTACCCACGCACCCACACCTACATTCAGCCTCTCTCCCCGCATCACCATATTTAAACAGATCCACTCTAAAGTTCCCCCCGCACCCAAATACATTCTAATAATTGGCTATAAGGAGAAATATAGTATCTTCAGGTACTTGGCCTGGCTTTCCTGTAGGTACTGGATCATTTGTTATGCTCTGGGCAAAGGTTAATTCTTGGAGCTGAACCGTGAGAATCAGTGAGCCTGCCTTCTGCCAGGTCCTATCTCTGCACCCAAAGCTATGGAGAGTATGCCTGCATGGGGCGTGGAGAAAGGGGCATCTCCAGCCCCCATCCCAGATGGAGTGCTGCACACCACACTAACTAGCGAGGTGAACTGGTGAGGTGAAGCTTGTAAAACGACGTGTGTGCCTGGGCTAGAAACAATGGCAAATACCAGAGCTTTTCTTCTCTCCCCTCCAGATCTTGTATCCTTTTAAGGAAATGTGCTGCTTTGCTTCTCCTAACTGCGCTTGCTTGCCATCAAGCACTGGTGCTTCACAGTCTGGTCTGAGGCTCTACCTCTTAAGGATCCTCTTGTATGGGTCCTCCGCCCTCCACGTTTTTGGCTCCTTTTAGTTGCAGGCAGTGAGGTTACTGTCTGAGACTAACCTAACAGTCCTAGAGGGCCAGGATTCATGCCAGCAGTCATGCTGCTCTCCACCCTCGCTTATGACTGAAACAGGGTTCAGACAGTTAAGGGATTCTGTGATCCTTGATACACTTCTACATAAGTCAAGTCTAATCCCATCAAAATGGTGGCATATTCAACTAACTGAATTTTGGGTTTAGGAACAAGACTTTGCAACATCGGGAAAGAAGAGAAGGGCAACAAACAACAGACAGTGAAAACTGCAGCAGCGGGGAGTCCCAGGGAGCTGGTCCTGGAAGCCACTGGCATGAAGCCACTACAGATCTTGCCAGAGGAAGCTGAACACAAAAAACTGAGTCGGGGTACTGCGGCACATCAGGAGACCAGAATTCCCCCTAAACGAAAAGCCCCAAGGATCTAGGTAAAGCAGATGGCTGGGAAGGGGCTTCTGAAGGACTCCTTCCATGGTTCTTTGACCTTCTGGGGTCATACCACTTTTGAGAATGATAAAACCGATGGCCCCTCTTCCCAGAAAAATGCACACACCCACAGTTTTGCATATGATTTCAGAAGACTTACAGAACCCACGAATTTCATCACTAGGGGTGCAAGGATCCCAGTTAACTGACCCCTCTACCCTATGGTGGTGGGCATGGGCCTGCTTTACTAGGCCCTCGGTCCGTGAGAGTCTGTTCTTTGCTAGGAATGTGAATACAGCTCTACTTAAACCTTTGTATTCTTTTTTTTAGATATATATATTTTTTGATGTGTACCATTTTTAAAGTCTTCTATTGAATTTTTTGCAATATTGCTTCTGTTTTATGGTTTTTTGGTGCTTTGGCTGTGAGGCATGTGGGATCTTAGCTCCCCGACCAGGGATAGAACCCGCACGCCCTGCATTGGAAGGTGAAGTCTTAACCACTGGACTGCCAGGGAGGTCCCCAAACCTTTGTTTTCATCATATAAAATACTGGCCTTTTTTCTGAGGAAAGACATGTTCAAAATGAGGTGACTCCCTAGGCAACTAAACTGAGAGATGCAACAATACTGTTGGTGTGGCAGCTTAAAGATGTTTAGGACACATCAATGACTTTGTAATTTTAAGGATAGAAAGTCACTGATTTTAAAGTCAGAATAAGACTCTCAGGATTTTTTTTTCTCTTGTAGGAAGCTAAAGAGTAGATACCTGAGGAGGAGTTAGTTACAAAGTGGCTGACACAAGGCCTTCTTCTACGGAAATGGTACAGTGCAGGCCACAGGTGATAGTCCAATAAGCAGCAGCATCTTCACCCCAGGAAGACATCCCTGCAGATGAGTGGCAGGAAGGCACCTGTCCTAAGGGGCACAGGAGTGTGGCGGCCCTGGCGAGGGCTCCCTTCCAGGGGCCTGGTGCGATCTGCTTGAGGATGCCTCTTCCACCGAAGCTACAGAACATGGTTGGCCTGCTTTGGGCAAATGTGTCCACAGCCTCTCTGCCATCTTTTCATAAAGCCTCAGTTGTACATGAGCAACATTTTGTTTGACTTCTTAATGCCAATAAAAAGGAATTCTCTTCATTTCCAAATTTCTCACTTTATTATCATAATTAACCTTTACCTGGAAAGCAAGCAGTAAAAACTATTCAGACAGCATCATTACATTATTACTCCAGGCCGAAGAGGGTGAGGGGACTTTCAAGTTAAAATAGGCACTGAAAGAGACAAACTCCAGTTCCTAGGAAGGCTGACCCTCTACAGTCAGCATTAAAAGCAGGATTAATGTGTAAACTTTAAGAGGACATACGGTAGCTTTATTCTTCTTGATACTTAAAAAACAAACAAGAAGAAGGCGATGTCTGTGATGGTCAACATCATATGGGGAAGACCAAGTCCACACTTTGTCCTGAATCAACTGCTACCACGTAAGTCTTCTTGGTCAAGTCATTTACACCCACAGTGATGGAATAGGTCCCTGGATATACTTCTATGTAGAGGTCCTTAGAGATGTTCTCAGCCTGGAAGGAAAAGTGGATATTAGCAGTTTAGAGATTTTATGTACCAGTGCCGTCAGGGCACCTCTACCCGGCTCCCTCTGTGTGTGATGGAGTGAGGTACTAACGTGGGAGATGGAGGTCCTGCTTTCAAGGCTTGGCTTGGCAACGTAATAGGACTGCCATTTAGGCCAGTCTCAGCCTCTCCTTATGCTTGTTTCCTTATTTCTAAAATTAGCTCACAAATAAGCATGTATGTGAAAACACTAAATTGTTATAGGAACATGAAGGATCATAAAAGGAACACTCTGGTTGGAGCAGAAAGGTTAAGAATCAGGTAGAGGGAAAGGCTAATGACGATTGCTTTGGGGCTCAAAAGTAGGCAGTGGCACTTGTTATCACAGATCAGCAGTAATGGCAAGGCGCTGTGGGATAATGAGAAGTATTCTTTTTAACTGTGCTTTGCTAAGTTCATTATTAGGAGGATGAAACATTTCTTTTCACCTAAAGCTGAGAACACTATGAGTAGATTCCACTTTGTCACGCAGAAAGTCAGCTGGCTGGCTAAAGCCCTCCCTTGGAGACCAGTTCTCCTATGCAGATGGTCCCCGACTTATAATGGTCAGACTTATGGTTTTTTGATTTTACGATAGTGTGAAAGTGATACGCATTCAGTAGAAAACCGTACTTCCAATTTTGAATTCTGATCTTTTCCCGGGCTGGTGATGTGCAGCACGATACTCTCTCGTGATGCTGGGCAGCGGCAGTGAGCGATCTCCCAGTCAGCCATGAGGATCACGAAGGTAAACAACTGATACACTTATAACCATCCTGCACCCATACAACCAGTCTGTTTTTCACTTTCAGTACAGCATTCAATAAATTATCAATACATGAACTATTCAAAACTTTATTATAAAGTAGGTTTTGTGTCAGATGATTTTGCCCAACTGCAGGGTATGTAAGTGTGCTGAGCACGTTTAAGGTAGGCTAGGCTAAGCTATGACGTTCAGTAGGTTAGGTGTATTAAATGCACTTTTGGACTTCCCTGGTGGTGCAATGGTTAAGAATCTGCCTGCCAGTGCGGGGGACATGGGTTCGAGCCCTGGTCCAGGAAGATCCCACATGCCACGGAGCAACTAAGCCTGTGCACCACAACTACTGAGCCTGTGCTCTAGAGCCCGCGAGCCACAACTACTGAGCCTGCGTGCCACAACTACTGAGCCTGTGTGCCTAGAGCCTGTGCTCTGCAACAAGAGAAGCCACCGCAATAAGAAGCCCATGCACCGCAACAAAGAGTAGCCCCTGCTCACCGCAACTAGAGAAAGCCCGCGTGCAGCAACGAAGACCCAACACAGCCAAAAATAAATAAATAAAAATTTAAAAATAAAAAAATAAATGCACTTTCAATTTATGATATTTTCAACTTACAATGGGTCTATCAGGACGTAAGTCAAAGAAGTTTGATACTGCAAAACACTGGAAGCTGGAGTCATTGGAAAGATTTATGTTTAGAGCTGAGCTGAGCACAAGCCATCCTCCAAGGACAGGCTTCATGCCCGGCTGGGAAGTGGTCATGGCAGATATGCAGGCAGAGGAAGGGTCTCAGCTCAAATGGCCAAAGAGCAAAGTCACAAACCAGAAAAGAGCCTGTAATTAAGAGCCAAAGCGCCTATCCCACAACTGGGAGACCACTACCAATGCTTACTCAATGCTCAGAAGGAGCCACAGGCAGAAGCTGTCATTTCTACACCACCCCTGGGGGTGGGGGGCAGGTGGACCAAACTACTGCCAGTAAATTCTGCTAGGAGGAATAAATGATAATATTTATACTTTTATGAAACTTCCTCTCTTTCCATCTTGCAAATAGATTTGAAGCCAAGGTTTTCGGAAGCTGCTTTATGCTATATCCTTTCATGCCCAGTTACTGCAAAATTGGAGGCTTATCATCATTTAACTGACGTGAATGTGTATGACAACGCCACAACTATTTATTAGTCATCAACTATGAAAATAAACAAAAGGTTTCAGAAAATACAGCTATATCAGAATTGCAGGAAGCCAAGGATGCTTCACTTGTCTGCATAAAAGGTGCAAGATTGGCATCTGTGATTCCTACACTGTGAACATCAGGAAGATTAGCATTACCAAAATACAGTAAGTATTGGAGGCATCTAAGCCTAACAACTTGTACTAAAAGCAGAATAGTCTTAGTTGCTACTAACTCTAGTATATTCTGAATCCTGGCTAGTAGCACACTGTATGCAAACAAAAATTAAGCAAACTATTGCAGCAACACACCAGAGTTCCATTCCTCAGAATTCCAGCCCTTCCAAGTTCCAAAAGATTCCCTGGGTTCATGAACTAATGAATATTTTATCCTAAAAAATCACTGTATGTTTTCACAGAGAAACATTTGCGGAAAATAGGAACAAATCCCTTCAAATGTTTTGGAACCTGATCTAACCAAATGTATACGTTTCAGAATTTCAGCAATGGTTTTCACTTTGTAAGCAGGAGGGTCAGGCCCCTCCTGCTGCTTGAACAGATGGTGGAATTCCAGCAGGACCCAGTGCCAGCCCAGCTGAGCTGTAGGAATGGAGATATGAATACTTTGCATTCTTTCCAACCGCAACTATGAGTTCAGGCACAAAGAGTATCCCTGAAATTTCAAGTGAAGGAAGGATACCAAGAAAACATAATTTTACACTGAACTAAAATGTTGTACACTGTCCCCAAGGGTAAAAATATCCCAACTTAAAAATACTATAGATCCAGTACAAAGAACCCTATAGTAACCAGATCAGTTCATGGAATTGCAGTGGTGGTGGAGCCCAGTACCCTAGAAGTTCTGTACTCACAGGCTGGGATGCCTCTAGTGCACACTCTGACGTCTGACGGATGCCTCCGACACCAAGGGGGGTGTCTTTTCTCTGAAGAGTGAGGTAGAAACATTGATTAGGGCCCAAACTTTGACTTCTGAATGGTAGAGAGAAAATTTTTCCTACTTAACTAGGAACTAACAATTGTTCTGTCAGTGTTTTCCAAGTTGTCACCTAAAGGCTTTTAGTGAATTCTGCAAAGTATTTTTAGTCAGATGTTTACCATGATTACCTTTTATCCTTACATGGGCTTTGGACTCAGATAGACCTGAGTTTGAATCCTATCTCTGTCATTTACTGAGACGGACAGATTAATTTCTCTATGCCTTGGTTTCCTAGTCTATAGCTTCGGCATACTACACTGTAAGGAAGATCTAAAGTGCAAAAGTGATTGACATTTAACAGGCTCTCAGAAAATAGAATTCTCTTCCAAGGTTCTCCCAGCAGTGGGAGTACTGGAGGGGAAGAGGCTGAACTGAGAAAGTCAATTTCCCTTAGAGGCACCAATTTACGTCT